TCCTTGGGACCTGCAGCTGCTGAACTGTGTTTTGGGCAGTGTTCATGATGTCCAGCCTTGAGAACACTTGGAGTGAGTTCTGGCCTCAGAGAGTCAGGGCAGTCCTTACTGTCTCCAAGCCTTGGTTTCTTCATCTGTAAAATGGGAATATTGGTATCTCTCAAATAGTGCTTTGGTCGGGGCTTGGAAGCTTGTGGATTTAAAAGAAAGGATGCATATGTTGTTCTTAGATCCATACCTGGAATTTCGGAAGAACTTAAGTGTTCACCATCTTTACTATTACTATTGACACTTTGTTATCGTTACATTATTATTCATGTTCTCAGGGCCCCAGCAGCTGTGGTGGCTGTGGACCTGGTTATGGTCTGTAGAAGAGTTGTCCGTTCCTAATTAGTGCCCCAAGGAGAAGACCTGGGTTTTTGTTTTTGCTGGTGGATCCCACCTGCCCAAGGCTTTGCCAGCCTCTGTCATCCACTGGGCTGAGGCAGGGCCCCCTCTCCAGCCTCAGGTAGGGGCCTGGCTCCAGGCAAAGCCTCCCCAAATTTCCCCTGCCACTCCCTCTGCCTCGAGACCTCCAGGGCCATGAATCATTTATGAGGCAAAAATGAAACCAATTAAGGACAAACTTTGAAAGCCTCTAATTGCTGCGCCTGGTGGCACCGAGAAATGAGGGGAGGAAGGCCTGCTCGGTGCGGAATCTCCTTGGCCCGGCCTTCCCAGGCCGCCTGTCCCATCGCGTCTCAGGGTGCCTCGGCCTCTCAGCTCCCCTCCCGGCGGCCACGGACGTGCCTGTGCGGCTGGCTGCTGCGTCTGCTGCCCGGCGCCCGCCTGGGTCCCAGGCCGACTAATTAGGCCCGGCTCCCCTCCCCGCTTTGCCTGCTCCAGGCCCGAGGTGATGGCGGCTGTTCCTGCCATTCTGGGGCCTGTGCCCCAGAGCTGGCCACGATTCTCGGGGCGGGAGCCAGCTCTGCTCGCCTGGCTTAACCCAGACGAGCCCAGAACTCAGGACGCCATGTCCCTGAGCTGGGAGACTAGGGCTCCCCACAGCCCCACTGTGGGGTATTGGTGTGGGTAGGTTCTGGATCCCGCTGGGGCATATGACTCGATAGCCCATTCAGTCTTGGGGAGAGAGATGCTTATTCCTGCCAGTGGGGCGGGGGGCGAATCTGGGGGTGACTGATACAAGAAGGAAGCTGGGGAGTACAGGGGAAGAGAGGGTGTTGAGCTCCTGAGTTTTGTACCAATGCAGCAGGGTCCACCTTGACTTTGCCACACTGAACTTAGCAGGTTCCTTAGTCTCAGCGTCCCCATGTATAAGCCCGCAAGAATGGCCAGTTTCCTCCTAGATTTGGGATCTGTGGAACTGGGCTCTCTGTGTCCCCTACTACCCTCTCTTTGGGGCTGCTGAGGGAGCGGAGCTCAGGATCCGGAGCGGGGTGGATCCAGCAGGGTCTGCTTCACTGCCAGGCCCCTGGCCATGAGTGACCAGCCTGCTTAACGTGCTGAGGGCCAGGCAGGCCCTGGGCACTCAGGCACGTTGTTTGCTGAAACCGAATTTCTGTGCTTGTGTTTTTCCATAATTATATTAGCAGGTGGGATTTTTCCTCGGGGAAGCAGTGGGAGGGGGAGCACCGTGGCAGTGTCCCCGCCCGCTCTGAGCGTGAGCTCACACTCGGCTCTGCCCGCCCGCCTGCCGTAATGATTTTTTAATTATGCAGCCAGTGCTCGGAATTGCTAATCCGTCTCCAGCCCAGCATCCCCTCCTGCAGCTCATACCCCAGCCCCTCACTGGTGTCCCCAGAGTGGTGTCCCCATGCCCATCAGTAATGTCCAGGGACACTGCCACTGTGGGAGAGAGAGGGGCCTGGGGGTGGGAGTGGAGGCTATAAGGACACCTCTCCTTCTGCAGGTGGTAGAACTTGGGGAGGGGGTTAGTTTTCTGTCTTACACACACATACCCCTCCCTGGCCCCCGCATGGCTTACACCTGCCAGGACAGCTGTGGCTCTGGAAAGGGAGCAGGGGAGTCATCAGTGCCCACCCCTGAGTGATGTGATCACACCCATTTCAGGGACATCAGCCTTGTGTGACCCCAAGGGCGCACACACACACACATACACACAAGTGCAATCTTTGTCACATCCCTACTCACACTTTGCTTCCCTTTTCCAAACACCCTCGGCCTTCCAGCTACACAAACACAATAGTACGCTCTGTATGTTTCTCACACAGCCACACCTGAGGGCCAGGGCACCCTCAGGAGGCCCCCTTGCTGCCTCCCACTCATGCATGCTCGCCCTGCAGTGGCCCTGCCCCCCTCCCTTGCCTCCATTTCCTCCCAGCCCCACTCCCAAACTAGGAGGGAATCTGAGGTCCTCCTGCTCCCACCTGGTGGGGTGGCTGCCTGTGGCCGGGGCCTGTCTGAACCTCCATCGACCTGGCCTGGGGGAGGTGGGGGCGATGGGGGGGCTGATTCTGCAGCACTGTGGCAGCGGCTCCTCTCCAGGCGCCCAGCTGTGGCATCTGTCAAGGTCAGATAGCGACTCCGGAACCAGCCGGCTGGGCCCCATGGCCCCTCTCGCCTCATTATTTTTGTGTTCCGGGGCTGCGGCGACACCTCCCTCCCTCCTCCTCAGCCTCCCGCCTCTTGCCTGCCTCCCCCACGCCTCTGCAGGGAGGGCCTGCGGTCTGGGGGCTTTTGTTTTCCAGTTTTTTCCACACTCTGGCCAGGCAGGCGGATAGACGCTGCCCGGAGTTGTTGGTCCATGAACAGCAGACAAGGCAGGTGCCTCTCTCACAAGACAGGTGTCCCTGGCTGGGAGAGCGTCTCTGGCAGTAGAACCCTGGGTTGGTTTCTCATGGGGGACAAACGAACTTGGGCGGGGCCCAGCCCCCACCACAGCCCAAGCGCACCTGTGGGCAGCTTCCTGTTTCCATAGGGCCCCAGCACCTGGCTTCAGTTCCTGTCTGCGCCATCCCCATCCCAGTTGGGCCTCAGAGTCACATCCCAGATCCCCTCCGAGGCCTTGACACAACTCAGTTGTGAACACACACACGTACACATAACAAAAATGTGTTGACACACACAGGTCAGAACCCATACACATCCAGGTGTCACATAAACCACTGTACTTACACACAGGCATGTGCGGCATACGCTTGTGCCCACAGAGAGCACACGCTCCCTTGTACATGCTGGAAGGTCACACTCATATCTCCGCTTACAGCGGTACATTAACCCAGTGTGTACATCAGGCCTCAGGCCCGGGGAGGGTGACACCTGAGACTGCACACGCGCACACACACACACACACACACACACCACCCCCACCCGTGCACACAGCATACGTTGGTGTGTCTGACATACCTCCTGGGTGGACACACACATACACATTTGTCTTTGGCCTTGCTCCTCGCGATACACCCTCCAACCTGAGCTCACCCCTGGGACCCGGTGTTCCTTCAGCATAGTTACACCACCCAAGGGGCTTTTGTACCCTGAAATGCTGAAGTGAGCTTGAGGCTCCCCTCTTGATGTGTCCTCTGTATCCGTGGAGAGTGGGAGATGGTAGTTGACAGATGGACAGCCACGTCCCCCTGGCCAGTCTCTCTATGGCCACCAGCCTCAGCCTAAGCAGTGAGATGGAAGGGATGGGGGTTTCCAGGTGACAGAGAGGGCAGGTTCCGGGGTCAGCCTCTTGGGGGCTGTCTCTGAGCCCCTCTGCTCCCCTCCAGCCCCTAACTAGGGTTTGTAGGTGTTGGGTGGGTGAGCTGTAGCAGACACCCGATCCCCCGGGGTCTCTGGGATAGCCCCGGCTATCCACTCACTTCCTCCAACTGTGGACGACTGTGACCGCCCCTGAGAGGGGGAGGTAGCTGGAGGTTTAGCAGTGGCAAGGCCCCCACCCCCCAGGAAACTCAAAACCCTGGGCCAGCCACGGGTGGCGGGTTGGGGCAGGCACAAAGAGGGCCTCTGTGCGGCCCGGCTGGGCTGCCCACAGGATTCTGGGGGAGGAGGCAGGAGCCGGTTTCCGTCCCATTCTGCTTCCTGCGGAGGCCGCCGGAATGCCCGGAGCTCTGGCCCAGCCTGGCCCGTCCGGCCCACCCGCAGCCCCTTCCCCTGTCTTTTCCTGGGCCTTAGGGTACAGCTGCAGACTTCTCTGCAGCAGTGCCCTGACGTGTTTTACCCCAAACCTGAGAGCCATCCCCCAGCATCATGGGAAACTGAGGGGGTTCCCCTGGGCTCAGGGTTGAATTGGATCTCACCCTCTGGCCAAAATCTTTCCTTCCTGGTGTCTCATTTTTGGAAAGCAAGGTCCTGCAGTCATACAGACCTGGTTTCAAATTCTGTCTCTGCCACATAGTGCTCTGTGAGCTGTGGCAGGTGACTACCTCCCTGAGCCTCAGTTGCCTCCTCTGTAAATGGGAATAATACTAATTAAAGAGTTACAGGGCCTCCCCTGGTGGCGCAGTGGTTGAGTGCTGGGCTGCGAAGCTGCCCACAGCCTCTGCAGCACCGGTTCAATCTCCAACTGCTCCCCGGCCACCGGAGGAGGGTCCCACATGGCAAGACAGACCTCTCCTGCCGCCCGCTGCTCCCCTCAGCAGTGTATTTCGTCAGTCTCCCTGTTTTGCTCCCCACTCAGGCTCTGGTGAATTCTCTCACCCTCACGCACTTCTGACTGTACCCAGTGCTTGTGTAAGTAAATAAATCTTTTTTAAAAAAAAAATATAAAGTATCAGCAATGAGAAAGTAAACATTTTAAAAAAATTAAAGAATTACAGAAAAAGTTCACTGAGAAAAGGTAAACTGCTGAGCATAATGCATGGCAGGGAGGGAGTGCTCGCTCATTGTTAAGGCCTGTTGTGTCTGGAGAGACAGGCAGAGGGTTACATCCTTCTCACTCCAGTAAGACTCACATCATCTGAGTCTTTTTTTTTTTTTTTTTTTTGCATAGAAGAACTGGGGTATAGGCCAGAGGTGTAGGGGGTGGGGAGGATAAGAGGATTCACCAGAGGCAGAGTGGGGAAAAGAACAGGCAGACTGACTGAAATACACTGCTGGGGGGAGCAGCGGGCAAGACAGGAGAGGTCTGCTGCGCCATGTGGGTCAGCTCCCTAGCTGGGGATCGAACTCAGGCTGTAGCAGTGATAGCTCGCTGAGACTTAATTCCTAGGCCACCAGGGAAGCACCCCATCTGGGTCTTTTTTTTTTTTTAAAGATTTATGCATACAGAGCTGGGGTACAGGCCAGAGATGCAGGGGGGTAAGAGGATCCACCAGAGACATAGTGGGGAACAGAACAGTCAGACTGACTGAAATGCACTGCTGAGGGGAGCAGCGGGCGAGACAGGAGAGGTCTGCCGCACCATGTGGATTTCTTTCTGGCCGGGGATTGAACTCATGCTGCAGAGGCTGCGGATTGCTTCATAGTGCGGTGCTTAACCCCTTGCGTCACCAGGGAGGCCCCATCTGGGTCTTGATCCCAACCGTGTGACCTGCTTAAAACTCTCCAGACTTCAGTTTTCCTAAATTAAAATTTTATCAGCTGATTCAGACCCTCTGGGACGCTCTTGGGATTTAGTGGGTGCAAGGGGATCACTATCTGGAGTCTGAATCTCATCTTCCCACCTTTTTCCCAGAAACCTCTCTGTGATCATGACTCCTGAAGTTTGGGGTGAGGAGCAAGAGCCCTTTTCCACTTTACAGATGGGAAACTGAGGCTCAGTGGGGTTGAGGGGAGAACTTGGTGAAAGTCAACAGAGGGACAGAATGGAGCCACAAGCCTAGACCTCGGAGCTCTAGTGCCCCAGCCAGCCCTCTTGACATGCCTCCCCACGCTGAAATGAGCCCCACAAGGAGAGACCTCCCCAAGGCCTTGGCCCAAATATCTCTGAACTTGTCTCATGGAGAGGCGCACTGGGAAAGAGGCCCTGTGTCCCCATGTCTCCTTGGGCTCAGATCCCAGGCTGGTTCCTCTGTAACATCAGCCCTTAGGAAAACTTGAAGATCAGGGGGTCCCAAATGGAGAGGGTGTCATCCTCTCTACATCACAACCTCTGCTCAGGGGGCCTGCTCCGAATGAGGCAGTAATAGCATTTCCTTCAGAAGATGGGGATGAGGGCTCCCTGAAAGGAAGGTCCAGTGGCCTCCATGCACATTAGCTGCTACCGTCATGGTCTCGTTTCAGGTGAGGAGACTGGCTTAGAAACCATATTCCAAGGTCACAAAGTAAGGAAGGGCCTTCCTGATCCTTCGACTCTTACGAGGAAGGAACCTGATCTGAGGGAGGTATGTGCTGAGGAAGACCTTGTCTTTATCAGGTGTCCCCGTCTCGCTCCCTAGGTGTGCTCAGGTCAAGACATACCTCCTGCCCGGCACCACAGTGTTCCCATCCATGAAATGGGTTGATCTCTTTTTTCTACTTGTTTTGGGGAGCTGCACAAGGGAGAACAGAGCCCCACATACCCAGGGGTTTTCTCAGCTGCACATTTTAGTCCTCAGGCAGGGAGGAGGGAGGGAGGAGGTTGAGGGTGTGGAGTCAGAGAAGTAGTATTACATTCCCCATTCTGTCCTTGGCAGTCAGGGTCGGGTGAGAGTCTTGGAAAGACCCTAGTGATGTTGCGGGCATGTCCCGCACCCTCACTGGGTGCTCGCCGTGGTCTGAGTGTCCTGTGTGAGTTCATTTATCACTGGACATGTACCCCACCCCCTCTGGCCAGACTGCATTTCTCCCTGCCTCACCCCAAGTCCAGTGTCCCCATGTGTATCTCCTTGGGCCTGAGTGGGGTGTTTTCCCCTATGGAAAGTCCCAAGTTGAATCATGGAAATCAGTTGAACCCCCCTCCACACACAACACACTTGGCTCAGCTCACTTGAGTAACCTGTAGTCTGCTCTCCAGGTCAGTCTGTCCATCTTAGCTCCATTCGCAGCCAGAGACCAGCCCACCAAGGCGGGCGGAGGGGATGAGGGGCCGTAGCGGGGATGTCAGGAGTATGCGTGGAAGGGCAGGAAGGTATCACAAGCCGGGACGTGCAAGTCTCAGAGCTGGCCTGTCCAGATGATGGTGGACTTGCGGGGCTAGTGCTAGGCAGGCACCTGAAGGCCTCTCTGAAATACAGCCTCCTCCAGGAGGCCCTCCCTCAGCAGGCAGGGTGCCGTGGGGAAGGGATGGCTCCTTGCTCAGACTCTACCCTTGCTGGTAGTGATGATCGCACGACTCTGTAAACTAAAAGTCGTTGATTTGTACACACACAAATGGGTGGACTTTGTTTTATAGTGTGTAAACTATACCTTAGTAAAGCCGTTTAAAATAAAATCCTGCCCTTGAACTCAAGGCCCAGCCTAGTTGGGATCCTGCCAACTTCATAGCCACACTTAGCACCCGCTTCTCATTTCCTAGGAACCCTTTCAGACGTGTGTCCCCTTTGGTAACCTCTTATCCTCAACTCACAGGCTAGCATCCTCACCCCCCACCCCCACCCCCGCCCCGGGAGGCCTCCCCAGGTTCCCTTCCCTCTGCCATTTTACATTGGTTCGTGTGACCATCAGCCCAGCTCCCACATTCTCCTCTGGGGTAGCATGTTCTGTACCCTACATTGTCTCCTCAGTACCATGGGGCATGCGTAAGCAGTGGGGGATCTGTGCACCAGAACATTGGAGTGTCTCGCAGTGGGCTGCCTGTGCGCCACTTGCCTTCGGCACCATCCCATCCTTGTGCCCCAGCAGTGCTGCCCAGCCCGAAGAACTCAGGATAGGGTCCTACTGGATGTTGATCCTGGCTCCCCTGGGGCTTCTGGTGAAGTGAGGGTGCTGCCACCACCTCCCATGACCTCACTACCAGCTGGCATTATGATGTCACTGACCTAGCATTCTTGTTTCCTGCCTGGGCTATCTCCAAGCCCCCCAGGTGGGGGCGCTCCCCCGGGGTCTGTGACAGCGCACCCGCCCAACCACGTAAAGGTGACAGCACGTAACAGCCCTGGGGCGGGGGGGTGGGGGGGGCGTGGAGGCAGCTTCAGGGGTGGCTGGATCACTTTGCCCTGGGCTGCTCTGTCAGTTGCACGGGTAAACAAAGGCATCACTGAGAAGGGTGACTAAATTTGGGTTCTGGGTTCAAGTTCTACCCCCACTGGGCCCCAGCTGTTAGACATTGGCCTGACAACTTGAACCTGTGTGAGCTTCAATTTCCTTATCTCTGAAGTTGGTTCATACATAGTTCCTATCTCCTGGCTTCTGGGGAGGAGTCAAGGAGGGGGGACAAGATATATGTATCATAGGGACACAGCACCTGGGACACAGTAGGTGCTCAATAAATGATAGTTGGTAGGGTTAGTTGGTACGTAGCCTGAGTTCGCTTGGTGATGGGAACTGGTTAGAGAAGGGCGGGGCGTGTGCTCTGTAGGGCTGGCCAGGGCCTGGGGGTAGGGACAAGGAGCTGCCCCACTGACAGGAGAGTGGCCCCAACTTTGGCTAGCCTGAGGCCACAGAGTACTGGTGCCTGAGTCAAGAACCATTGCACGCCTCCCCCTGCCCCTCTAGCCCTCCTCAGAACTGGGACCAGTGTGGACTGGGTCCCTGGACAAGGTGGGTCTCATCTGCTCCCCCCACCTGTCTCCCTTTCTCTGGGTATGCCTTCTCTTGGTCCCACGTCCCTGAGTCCAGGCTCTCCTGGGCTCTGTTTCTGTGTCTCTCATACCCTCAAGTGTGAACTGGGCTCAATGCCTGGTCTTTCTGACCCTCCTTGCCACGTCTCTGCTCTCCCTGCCATTCTATCCTCTAACCTTGACCCTTTGCCCTTTCCTTTCCAGATTGCCTTTTCTCAGACCCACCCCTTAAGTGCTGTCTCATGACCCCCTATCTCCACCACCTGTCTCTGTTCTGCTTCCCTGTTCCCTGCGACGCCCCCAGCTCTCTATGACTAGCCGCCCCCCCTCTCATCCCCCACCCCCTGGGCTCTGTCCCCGCCCGTCAGCCCCTGGTCCCAGCTCCCTGGCCGGCCTGGCTCCTGCATGGACAAAGGGGTCCTTTGTGGGCTGACCGCGGCTGGCGGGGCGGCGGGGCGCTGGCTCCGCATTGCTGATGAAACGGAGCCCTTTGTTGTCCCTCCTCAGGCGCAGTATTTCTTTTTGGGGGCTGGATGCGTTCCTGGCAGGGCCGATGATGGATGCGCCCGCCGCCGCCCGCCTGCCCGCCAGCTTTCCCTCCCGCTCATTCCCGCTCCGCTTCAACGCAGCCCAGCTCCTCCCCTGCTGCCTGGGCACTGCCAGGCCCTTCTTGGCCTGAGAAGGGGTTGCTGTGTGCCCTCCTTTGGTAGGAGGCTGGGCCCGGGAGAAGATCCTCTCAGGTCCTTTCCTTCCATCAGTAAAGCAAACAGGCCTTGTGGTCAGGGGTCCAGTGGGACTCGGGCATCAGCTTTTCCCAGGGTCTGGAGGAGAGGATGAGCCAGGTATAGGGGTAGATTTGGAATAAGCTTGGGGACTAGATGTTGGTATCTGCCCACTTTGAGATTTGAGCACGGAGGCACCCCGCATGCCAGTTCTCCTTGTGTACCCCCACCTTCAGTTTCTGTGGCTGACAAACCACAGTGCTGTGCTTGCAGCACCTGTTCGATGACATATCACGTCCTCTGGTCCCAAGCACCCAAGCTCAGCATGTCCCAGGACCTGGGGGGGGCTGGGGGAGGGGAGCCCCCAGTGGAAGGACAGAAATGGAAGATCGGAGAGACTCGGAGAGAGGGCCAGAGATCAACACAATGTAAGGTTTGGTCCCCACCACAAGAGACTCGGAATGGAGACAAAAGCAGAGAGCCTCAGCCAGAGCACTAGCCCTCGCTGTGTTGGAGGGAGCTGACTTCTAATTGACCTGCCCGCCCTGCACACAGAGCTAGATCCTGGAGCTGGGAGGAGGGAGGGAGTGAGTGGAGCAAGAGCTGCGTTAATGCAGCTATCGATTTCTGCCACCAGCCAGCAGGCCGCAGAGGCGGAGGACGCACGAGGGGGCTAGGGCGCAGACTGCTCCCCTCCCCGCCTCTCCAGCCCTCGGGCGCCTGCCTTCTCCTGTCTCCTCTCACCCTGTGTCTGGGGCTATGGTCCAAGGCAGAGTAGTTAAGCTTGGATGGGCAGGAACTTGGGTGAGTTGACTTAGGGTGATGATCTCTATCCCTGATTTCACTGACCCTAGTCCCCAACTCTTAGCCAGGGTCACTGATGCCTGGAAAGGTACCTGTCTCTGCAAAGAAGGCCAGCCTGGCCCGCGCCCTTAGGAGGTGGTACATGCAGCACAGCTGTCCTTGTGCGTACATGACCCCTTCCCTCTTAACTCTGACTTCTGTGGCACTGGATGCCTAGCAAGTCATCCTGAATGTCTGGTGGAGTCTGCTGACTTGCCCAGCACTTCTGGCCAGTAAGACATGAGCCTAGGCCAGTGCCCACTGGCAGGGCGGGTGTTACTGATGCTTGCCATTCACCCCACCCAGAAGACAGACTTCCCTTTCCTGCACTTGCTCCTCCTTGTGATCTCTCCTTGGGCAGAGCCCTGCATGCTCAGGGCCTCAATTTCCCCTTCTGTCAGTGCAGAGAGTTGGACTAGATGATCTCTGGACAGACTGAGTCCTGTGGCTGGGGGATGGTGGGGTTGCCTGGGGACAAAGATGCTGTGTGTGCCGCCCCCAGGCCCAGGGCGGGACAGGCCCAGCCAGATGTGCGCCTCCCCCTTAAGCCGCCAGCTGCTCAGGGGCTGGGCCCTCTCTTGGGGGTTGCTGGGCCACGGCAGGCAGACAGAGAAGCGACGCTTGAGAGCCAGGGCTGATGAGGAAACTGCCACTCTACTCCATCTGGACTAGTTCCTTGCAGAGCTCCTGGCCAAGGAGCCTGGCTGCTCTGTGTCTTTGTCTTGGGGCTTGAGCAGAGCACGCTCTGTCTTAGGAAGGACCACCTCAGAAATGTGGAAAAGGCTTCGTTCTCTGGAGGGTCACACCTGTTCTCTCAGTTCTCATTTGTACCAGCCATTGGCCCTTCCTGCCACAGCCCAGCCCAGCTCTCTAGGCTGACATGCCCCCACACCCAGGAAGGACTGCCTGCCTCTGTCAGGTGTTCCCAGGTGTTCCCGGCATCACAGATCTGGGCTAAGGAATCCTGGGTGAGCCTCCTCCAGGCCACTGGGCACAGGTGGAGCCATGGGCTGTGGTCAACTCTCCTACCCCTGGTCATCCTCATCTTCAAGTGGGGCTTGACTAGCCACTGCATCTTAACTGAGATAGTACAAAACACCCAAACACCTCACCAGGATGGACCTGACGTTGCATAAACACCTGGGCAGGTTGGTGGTCGATGCACTGGCTGCCCGGGCACAGCTGGCGGTGGTGATGTTGGCGGCCATGTTGAACGCGGCCCTGACCCTGTGTCCTCTTCTTCCAACAGAGTGAAGACACTTCCACGTGGACACCCGACCATGTGCCTGCCCTGAGCAGTCGGCCCACCAGGTGTCTGTTGTGGGCGGTGGGGCCCAGTGCTCATCTGTGGACCCCCCCACGGTTGGCAGGCTCCCCCAGAAGCGGGCTCTGGGCCTCGGCCCCACCATGTCGAGCCTTGGCAGTGGCCCCCAGGACACCGGCGGCAGCAGCAGCAGTAGCAACACCAATGGCAGCGGCGGCAGCGGCCCGAAGGCGGGCGTGGCAGACAAGAGTGCGGCGGCGGCCACTGCCACACCGGCCTCGGTGGCGGATGACGCGCCACCCCCTGAGCGTCGGAACAAGAGTGGCATCATCAGCGAACCCCTCAACAAGAGCCTGCGCCGCTCCCGCCCTCTCTCTCACTACTCTTCCTTCGGGAGCGGTGGGGGCAGCGGCGGGGGCAGCATGATGAGCGGGGAATCTGCCGAAAAGGCTGCTGCGGCCGCAGCGGCTGCCTCCCTGTTGGCCAACGGGCATGACCTGGCGGCAGCCATGGCAGTGGACAAGAGCAACCCTACCTCAAAGCACAAAAGCGGTGCTGTGGCCAGCCTGCTGAGCAAGGCAGAGAGGGCCACGGAGCTGGCGGCCGAGGGACAGCTCACGCTGCAGCAGTTCGCGCAGTCCACGGAGATGCTGAAGCGCGTGGTGCAGGAGCACCTGCCGCTCATGAGCGAGGCGGGCGCAGGCCTGCCTGACATGGAGGCTGTGGCGGGCGCCGAAGCCCTCAACGGCCAGTCCGACTTCCCCTACCTGGGCGCCTTCCCCATCAACCCAGGCCTCTTCATCATGACCCCAGCAGGTGTATTCCTGGCCGAGAGCGCGCTGCACATGGCCGGCCTGGCTGAGTACCCCATGCAGGGAGAGCTAGCCTCCGCCATCAGCTCGGGCAAGAAGAAGCGGAAACGCTGCGGCATGTGTGCGCCCTGCCGGCGGCGCATCAACTGCGAGCAGTGCAGCAGTTGTAGGAACCGAAAGACTGGCCATCAGATTTGCAAATTCAGAAAATGTGAGGAACTCAAAAAGAAGCCTTCCGCTGCTCTGGAGGTAACGGCGCCTTAGAGGGAGGTGTGTGGGCTCTTGCGTCTGTCTGGCAGTCCAAACCCACCCCCACCCTCACCTTTCCTACCTGGCCAAGAGTCTGGGGGATGCCCGGCCATCCCTGGGCTCGGGGGTTCTAGACCCGGCTCCCAGACACCAGTTCACTGCCCTCAAAGTCAGAGTCACATCCTGAGATCCCATTAGGTTATAGTTTGCAAATCAAGCATAAGATTCCAGGCAGGGTCCTGGCCGGGAATGCCAGGCTCTGGGATTCCGAAGATACTTCTGGGCTAGGTATCAAGACACCCGTAGAGGTCTGAAGTTTCCCACTCTTACACGTGTCCTTGAGCTTCCAGTCCATGACTGAAGATTCTGGGACTCTCCCCTGCCCTGTTTGAGGTGTCCCTTGGACCTTGTCGCTTTTAGAGTCAGCCCTTCTCTTGCCCCTGCAGAGCTCACTGGCTCCCCCAAGGCCACCCAAGGGTAGGGAAGCCTCAATGCTGCCCACCTTGCCCTGAGATCTGGAAGAATTCTGGGTCTGGGCACCTAGTTAATAGATTTGGTGTGCTTCGGAGCCTCAGGATCAGTCTGCCTGCACAGCTACTGGTCAGGGGTCCTATGGGCCTGGGGTTAAAGGGTGGCTGTGAGCCTGGGGTGTGGGTAAGTCCTGTCCACTATGGGCTTATCTTGAAGAAGGCAGAGAGCTTCCCATGGCTGCTTTCTCTTCCCGCTCATGACAGGGCCTGTCCCTGTGCTCCCAGCCACCGCAGCCTAGCTTTGGTGCCAGGCCTGGGTACAAAAGCATCTTTTCAGCCTGCTCTCCCTGCCCTGTCTCCGCCCCTCTACGAGTGGGCTTGATTCAAATGTCCCAAACGGTTGGAAAACAATAATGGCATCCCAGCTGTGGCTCCCCCACCCCCCCACCCCGGCCCCAAACCTCACACATCTGCTCTCCTGCTCAGAGGATACACCTATGTGCACGCCAGGGCACCTGCTCTCGTCTCGTGTAGATACACGCCCGAACACAGCCCCCCCACTACTGCCCCTGCCCACAGCTTAGAGGCGCAGCCTCTCGGTGAACACAGCAGCTATCCTTCCTCCCTGCCAGGGCTCCGACACACGACACACTGTAGCAGAGCTCGAGGCACACTCCCGCGTACCGCCCCGCGCGCACGCTTAGCACGCTCAGTCGGCAGAGCAGCGCGCCCAGCTCCCAGATGCACCCCAGCCGCCTGGCGCTTGTGGCCTTTGGATCAGGGGGAAGGGGTCTTCCTGTCCGGAAGGAGGGTTCCTGGGCACAGTGACTCAGGAGACCTCAGGGTGCTCCGGGCTTGCCAGCGGCCCAGCGGGTCAAGGCTCCTTCTCTGGCCTGGCCAGGATGGCAGGAACTCCATGGGGTGGCTGCTTGTCCTCCATGCCCATCCCTCCGCCATGAGGCCATCCACAGGGAACGTCTTTGCACCAGGCCCGGCCGGACCCTGACTGAACTCTCTCCTTGTTTTTGTCTCCCGCCCCCGCCAGAAGGTGATGCTTCCGACGGGAGCCGCCTTCCGGTGGTTTCAGTGACGGCGGCGGGAACCCAAAGCTGCCCTCTCCGTGCAATGTCACTGCTCGTGTGGTCTCCGGCAAGGGATTCGGGCGAAGACAAACGGATGCACCCGTCTTTAGAACCAAAAATATTCTCTCACAGATTTCATTCCTGTTTTTATATATATATTTTTTGTTGTCGTTTTAACATCTCCACGTCCCTAGTATAAAAAGGAAAAGGAAAAAAAATTAACTGCTTTTTCGGAAGAACAACAACATATAAGAGGTAAAGACGAATCTATAAAGTACCGAGACTTCCTGGGCAAAGAATGGACAATCAGTTTCCTTCCTGTGTCGATGTCGATGTTGTCTGTGCAGGAGATGCAGTTTTTGTGTAGAGAATGTAAATTTTCTGTAACCTTTTGAAATCTAGTTACTAATAAGCACTACTGTAATTTAGCACAGTTTAACTCCACCCTCATTTAAACTTCCTTTGATTCTTTCCGACCATGAAATAGTGCATAGTTTGCCTGGAGAATCCACTCACGTTTGTAAAGAGAATGTTGACGGCGCCGTGTGGAAGCCCCTCTGTATCCATCCCCGTGTGTGCAGAGCCGCCGGGAGGGGCTCAGGGAGGGGGGGAGCAGCCACCCACCCCAGGCCCAGGTCAGTCATGCTGCACCCACCATCCCCAGAATGGGATCCCCCCACCCCAACAGTGATGATTTTACAAAAATGGAAGGTCTGTTCGTTTATCCATTGAGATCTGGGGAAGCCGTGTCTCAATATTTCCTATTCTGGCTGCTTCCCTTAGAGAAAATAAGTCCCTTCTTTCTGGCCTTGCCGATGGCAACAGAAGAAAGGGCTTCTTTGCGTGGCCCCCTGCCAGTGGGGGTGGGTGCCCAGGGGGCCCCCCTGTGGCCTGGGCCCCCTCACCCATGGCCAGCTTCCTGCTGATGAACATGCTGTTTGTATTGTTTTAGGAAACCAGGCTGTTTTGTGAATAAAACGAATGCATGTTTGTGTCACGAAGCACTGCTGGCTTCTTGCTGTCTGGATTTGGGGGCTGTTGCTGGGCAGGGCTTACGTGGGACCACCGTGTGTGGGAAGAAGCTTTGTATTCAGAGGGGGGATTTCTTGGGGAGTGAGGTCTTCCGGATTCAGAAGAGGGCCAGACCAGCAGAAGCAACCAGTTTGGCTGACAGGATGGAAACAATCTCGAAGTAGCCGATACTGGAGCAGTTCACCTGCCTGGCTCTGCCCCTACCTCAAACCTGGACCTTTGGGGACCATCTTTGCCTGGGTCCTTCTCAACACCTCAAGTCATCAAGGCCTGACCAGGCCAGCCATACTGAGGGTGGGACCTGAGCTGCCTGGGTGTGGCAGGGAACTAGTGTTCCCCCCAACCACTGAGGTGATTCCCCAGGCAGCAGTTTCAGCTCTGGTCCATGGAGATCAGGCTGTGCCCAGCATACACAGACACCCCTCTTTGGGCCTGAGGGCTGACAGTCCCAGGGCCTGGGGGTGTCCCAGGCTTTCGGGGGGTTTTTTGTTTGTTTTGTTTTTTTTTAAAGATTTACCCGTCCATGCATACAAGAACTGGGGCACAGGCCAGAGGTGTGGGGGGTGAGAGGATTCACCAGAGACAGAGTGGGGAACAGAGAACAGGCAGACTGACTGAAATACACTGCTGGGGGTAGCAGTGGGTGAGTGAGCAGAGGTCTGCTGCACCATATGGGTTGCTCCCTGGCCGGCTGGGGGATTGAACTCATGCGGCAGTGGCTGCGGACAGCCCCACGTGTTGCGTCCCAACCCCCTGCGCCACCAGGGAGGCCCCCAGGCTTTCGTTTTTGAGTGACTTTTCGCCACCCCCAGAAATTATGTTTGGTACAGGTCATCTGGGACCTCAGAGACCAGATGCTTGGGGAAATCACATGGCCACATGGTCTAGGCTGAGGCAGCCTGAACAGGAAGAGGTAGCAGCTGCACACCCCTCCTGCATGTCAGAGGCCGGCCTGTAGGACGGGCCTATCATCCACTCCTCAGGGCAACATTCTCCCCACCCAGCTGCTTTGAGCCTGGTCAAGATGGAGGCTAGTTTGGGGAAGGACTTTCTAACGGTGTTGGAGCCTGACTTCAGGTGGGTGAGGGTTTTTAGGACAAGGGAGCAACTTCTGAAGCTGAGCGGGTGGCAGGGCGGGGGAGATGACCTGTCTCTGCCATTGTTTCCAAGAAGAGAGAAAGCGGCCATGTTGGGTGGGGGCTCTGACCCCAACCCCTTTCCCGGGTGTCACAAGCTCCCTTTCTACACCAGGAGCTCAGCAGCCTGGCCTGGCACAGCAGGGGCAGGCGGGGGCGGTGGGAGGCAGCTTTCAACTCCATCACTGCCTGGGAAAAATTCCCTTTCATGTGGCTGCCTGTGATCTCTCCAGGCGGCTCTGCCAAAGGGGGGCATCCAACAGGGAGTAGGGGGAGGTGTTACAGCCAGGGGCACCCTCACCCCCTGCGCAAGGCAAACTGCAGCACCCCCAGAACCTTAAAGGGTGGGGAGGGTCCTTGGTGGGGTGGGGGTGGGCAGTCTGACCAGCAGGGGGCACCCGGGCAGGAGGCCTTGCCTGTCCTGTCTTGCTGCTGGCAGCATGCGGGCTGCAGATGGCCTCGGTCAGCCCTCATTGGCATGCCTACAGGTATGGGGTGGGTGGCTCTGGTGCCAGCCCAGGGGTGCGGGATGCCGTGACTCAGCCGGCCTGTCCCTTTCAGTTTGCCAGCCCCACAGCCCAGCATGGCTCCTGCACCTATCCCCCAGCACAGGGAAGCCAAAGCTTGAAGTCCTTCACCTCTCAGCTTCGACTCTGCTTTGTGGAAATCGTTGGCCAGGCCCTCTGGAGGAGGCCCAGGCTGGGATTCATCTGGGAAAGGGAGGCAGTAATAATCTCCCCAATAAAGTTGCCTGAGATCACTCTAGGGAAGGGCCCAGCTCATGGTAAGTGCTCAGTCAGTGCGGCTGGTGTTTCCATTTTAAAACTATCTTTCACCTCATTTTCATCAAGATGTCCCTCACCTTTCGCCCGGAGTGTGCGTCCTTCCTAAAGCTCTAGCTTCCCACCTCCCACCTCCACAGAGTACCCTGCTTTACCCTGCAGCAGGCCCTCTTGGCCTGGTCCTGCTCTGGTGGGTCTGTCCTGTTTATGTCACACTCGCTGTCTACATCTCTGTCGTGATGGTCTCTGTTTCTGTGTCTCATGTCTCTTGTCTCTGGGTTGCCCTACCTCCTGCACCTCTGTCTTTCTGTTGCAGGCTCTCCCTGCTGCTCTCCCGTCTGACAGAGAAGCACTTAGAGGCACGCTCCCCAGTGGAGTCATATGCCCAATTCTCTTCCCCTGGGTACCCTCAGCTCCCCTCTGTTACAACCTGGCTCCCTTAGAGATCTGGAAGCCTTCACCCGAGGCATCCCAAACCCCTGCCTGGGTGATCTGGCATTCAGGGTCAACTTGGGGCATGGCTGACAGGCTGGGGGTACAGAGACAAATCCAGCCTCCCTGCACATGTGTGTGTGTGCACGCGCGCATGTGTGTGTGTGCATAGGAGATACTTAAAGTCCCTGACAACTGTGTGAGGCCTTGTGCAGCAATGTGGCTATGTGTGACACTGAGTGCGATATTATGGAAATAGGCCTGTGACAGTGTGTGCTAGACTATCATGTGAGACTCGTCACCATGGGTTATTGTATGATGTCAGTGGCCAGACTTTGTGTTGTTTGGTGACATTGCATGTGTGATCCTGTGACATTGTACAGTCCTGTAACAGACCCAGTGTGATGCCAGTTTGTACAACTGAATGTGTGACACTGGATATGTAACACTGATATTGTGTGACAGCTACGACCCTGTGACCGAGACCCGGACATTCTATGTGGTTTGTGCCATTGTGTGGCCCTGATCAGTGTGGCCCTAGGATTGACACCAGGGAACCTATGTGATTGTGTGACACTGGCTTATGACCACACTCTGACCCTGTCATGCTGCCTGTGCTGGGTGTGTGGTCACACTGCATGTCAACGTGCACTTATGATCCCTGCCCTGACACCATGTGCAAAATGTGTCTTTGCCTACAGCATTTCCTGAGTCTCTGCCCTGACATCATGCAACTTTAGTGACAGAGTGGGGATCGTGGCAGCCCTTCTTCCCCCCAGCCTGACCCTGAGGCCCAGTCTAGCGGGGGAGCTGGCATGGGGGTAAGGGGTGGAGTTCCCATGGCCACCGCCACCCCTCTCCCAGCTCCATTACCACCAGCTTCAGCGCCACAGAATATCCTGGCAACCCCAGCCTCTTTGTTCTCTGTGGCAGCCAAAGGCCTTCCCCCACCCCAACCTTCCCAGCAGTGCCTGGCAGGCACCCTCTTCCCCACGGCAGCGGGGGACTTGGTCTGACAGTCCGTTGCTGCCCTTATCACCCTACCCAGACTGGAGCCCTGTTTCATTCCCTGAGCCTGACTCAGAACTCCAGACAGACTTTCGACCCTCTCCTATGAGCTAGCTGTGAGCCTATAGCACAGGAAGAAGGAAGCAGGATAACTGTGGCTGCACTGGGTGATTGTTGCCCACGAGCTTGGCTTTCTGTGCGGATACTTCCCCTTGACCCAAGGCTAGTTGGAGGCTCAGTTTTCAGACTGGAATGGTTTCATTTTGGTACGAGAAAAACTGTTTCTTTGGCTGCAAGAAATCATGAAGATAGGGATAATTATCCATTTTACAGATGAGAAACTGAAGTGCAGAGTATGTGATACGCAAGTCACGGAAGACTATGGTAGTAAGGCCCTGGTTAGAGCTTAGGTTCCTGCCTATCAGACCCCTGCACCAGGCTGCCGGGGGAGGGCCAGCTGCACCCATGGAGTAGAGATGGGCTCTGAGAGTCTAGACACAAAGTTCTTCCTCATTTCTTGGTCACGAAGTGTCAAAGCCAGTGTATATGTGTGTGTGTGCGCGTGCGTGTGCGCTTACGCCCGCACAAGGTGACCTTGTCCAAATTCCCTTGCCTCTGTGTTCCCAGGCAAGGGCAAAATAACCAGGGGGTGTGGGGTGGGTCACTTGACAGGGTACTTTGTCGAGCAACAAGGTCACCTCACAGTGCCAAAAGCCACAGCGTCTCCACCCGGGACACAGGTTCTGGCTTGGGACCCCAGGCTTAGCCTCGTTCTGTGCTGTCACAAAGAAAGTGGTGATGGCGGCGTGGCT